GGTACCTGCTGTATTCCTTCAAGGGGGGTGTCTGTTGTATGCCTTCAGTTGAAGGGGGGTACCTGTTGTATGCCTTGAAGGGGGGGTGTCTGTTGTATGCCTTGAAGGGGTGTCTGTTGTATGCCTTCAAGGAGGGTGTCTGTTGTATGCCTTCAATTGAAGGGGGGTTACCTGTTGTGTGCCTTGAAGGGGGGTGTCTGTTGTATGCCTTCAATTGAAGGGCGTTACATGCTGTATGCCTTCAAGGGGGGTGTCTATTGTATACCTTCAATTGAATGGGGTTACCTGTTGTATGCCTTCAAGGGGGGGTGTCTGTTGTATGTCTTCAATTGAAGGGGGGTTACCTGTTGTATGCCTTCAGGGGGGTGCCTGTTGTATGCCTTCAGTTTAAGGGGGGGTTACCTGTTGTATGCCTTCAGGGGGGTGCCTGTTGTATGCCTTCAATTGAAGGGGGGGTTACCTGTTGTATGCCTTCAAGGGGGTGCCTGTTGTATGCCTTCAATTGAAGGGCGTTACATGCTGTATGCCTTCAAGGGGGGTGTCTATTGTATACCTTCAATTGAATGGGGTTACCTGTTGTATGCCTTCAAGGGGGGGTGTCTGTTGTATGTCTTCAATTGAAGGGGGGTTACCTGTTGTATGCCTTCAGGGGGGTGCCTGTTGTATGCCTTCAGTTTAAGGGGGGGTTACCTGTTGTATGCCTTCAGGGGGGTGCCTGTTGTATGCCTTCAATTGAAGGGGGGGTTACCTGTTGTATGCCTTCAAGGGGGTGTCTGTTGTATGCCTTCAATTGAAGGGGGGTTACCTGTTGTATGTCTTCAAGGGGGTGCCTACTGTTTGTCCTTCAAGCTGAGCGCTCTGATACCCGGGCAATGTAAGTCACTCTCTCCTTGCACCTTCGACCCTTCATATGAATGTGCCATCAAACATTCTTTAAGCAAAATGCTTTCATTTAAGATGAATTTCAAGGCTCGAACCTCCGTTCTCTTTCCACGATTTTATTCGCTGAGAATCTCCTTCCAAGGATACCACTAGCCCCTCAATCAAGGTCCCTCGATGCAAGGGCCTTGACCTACTCTCCCGTTCCTCAGATCCAACCTAGCTACCTCTTCCCCTCAGGTGCTGTATGATTCCTACAGGTTTAGCGCTTGCCCCACCAATATAACAATAAATCAGAGTAACATGAGTTGCCCGTTAAGGCCATTCTTCACACTACTACTTTGTTGGTGACGTCACTTCCTTGACCTCAATGCTGCAGTTAGGCGGCTCACCCTCCACCCACTATCTAACTTCACCACCAACACAACCACTAACAACAACACCACTACCACCAAAACCACCAACACAAGCCCCACCACCACCACCACGACCAGAAGAATCACCACAAGCTTCACCACCACGAGAATCATCACCACTATCACCATAAGCACCACCACCACTACCACCACCACCACTACTACTACTACTACTACTACTACTACTACTACCACCACCACATACGAAAACCCGTGATCGTTTTCGAGTTTTTCTACCCTCGCAGCCCGACTTGGGGGCCAGATTTTCCTGTAGACTGCTTGCTCAACCAAGCTGTCGCTGGTCCACATATCCATCAGAGCCTGGTTGATCCGACACTTGGCCAAGGTAGCAATCCAGTTTCCTCCTGAAAATTCCTACATTTCTTTACGCGATATTTGTGATGTCAGGTTGAAGAGTCTTGGTCCACGTATGTTAACACAGTGTTGTTCTCTTAGTGTGCCCATGGTGCCCCGCTTACAGCTGAGTCTACACTTCCATACCTCTCACTTTAGCACGATGCAAATACTCTGGTGTGTTCCCAGTACTATGAAGCGGGCAGTGAACGATCTCTGGGAAAAATGAGACACTTGTGCAACGTTTTGGAATCTTTACTGAGGAAACGTTTCGCCAGCCAATGGCTTCTTCAGTTCATTACAAAGAAGAACGGTTCTCTCTCTTACCATGAAGGAAGCCGTCAACACCGAATAATATTCTCAACAAGAGAGCACAGGTAATTTGAACACTGTCACCATTGTCATTATTTCTCTTGTGTTAAAGTTCTCATTACCCCCCCCCCCACACACACAAACACACACACACACACGCTGCCCCACCCATCTCACTGCTGGCCTTTTGTGATGGCTTAAGCCAAGTCTTGCGAAGGTCTAAGAAGCCTGAAGGGTAAAGTTCCTGGGTCACACCACCATCACTTACCATTACTACTACCACCATTACTACTACTACCATCACTACTACAACCATCACTACTACAACCATCACTACCACCATTACTACTACCACCATCACTACTACAACCATCACTACCACCATCACTACTACAACCATCACTACTGCCACCACTACCACCATCACTACTACTACCATCATTACCACCATCACTACTACAATCTCTTTTGTCCCCCTTCCCTTTATATAAAGGGACTATACATGCTCTCCGCCAATCCCTAGGTACCTTCCCCTCTTTCATACATTTATTAAACAAAAATACCAACCACTCCAACACTATATATACCCCTGCTTTTAACATTTCTGTCATGATTCCGTCTGTTCCAGCTGCTTTACCCCCTTTCATTCTACGTAATGCCTCACGCACCTCCCCCACACTCACATCCTGTTCTTCACTCCTAAAAGATGGTATACCTCCCTGGCCAGTGCATGAAATTACCGCTTCTCTTTCTTCGTCGACATTTAAAAGTTCCTCAAAACATTCTCGCCATTTACCCAAAACCTCCATCTCCCCATCTACTAACTCCCCTACTCTGTTTTTAACTGACAAATCCATTCGTTCCCTATGCTTTCTTAACTTGTTTAGCTCACTCCAAAATTTCTTCTTATTTTCATTAAAATTTCTTGGCAGTGCCTCTCCCACTCTATCATCTGCTCTCCTTTTGCACTCTCTCACCACTCTCTTCACCTTTCTTTAACTCTCCATACACTCTACTCTTCTTATAACACTTCTGCTTTGTAAAAAAGTCTCAAAAGCTATTTTTTTCTCTTTTATCACACCCTTTACTTCCTCATTCCACCAAACACTCCTCTTTCCTCCTGCACCCACCCTCCTATAACCACAAACTTCTGCCACACATTCTAATACTGCACTTTTAAAATTATTCCAACCCTCTTCAACCCCCCCACTACTCATACTTGCACCAGCCCACCTTTCTGCCAATACTTGCTTATATCTCACCCGAACTTCCTCCTCCCTTAGTTTATACACTTTCACCTCCCTCTTGCTTGTTGTTGCCATTTTCCTCTTTTCCCATTTACCTCTTACTCTAACTGTGTATATATATATATATATATATATATATATATATATATAATATATATATATATATATATATATATATATATATATATATATATATATATATATATATATATATATTATATACATATACATATATATATATATATATATATATATATATATATATATAATATATACATATATATATATATATATATATATATATATATATATATATATATATATATATATATATATTATATATATATATATATATATATATATAAATATCGAACACGAGCTAAAATAACACAGGATCAAGCCCGTGTTATTTTAGCCCACCTCATGAGAAGCAAGTCAGAAATTACAACGTTCTAACCACTGAGCCATCAATCCTACAAACATCATGTACCTAGTAGCAGTAGGTATGTTTAATGATGCAAGGACACACGTGGCCGTGGTAAACTCAAAACTAATTTCATTCTACTCCCGTTTTATAATCGCCTTCACCACCAGTATACATATTAATGTATATATATATATATATATAATATATATATATATATATATATATATATATATATAATATATATATATATATATATCATATATATATATATTATATATATATATATATATATATATATATATGTATATATATATATATATATATATATATATATTATATATATATATATATACATTATATATATAAATTTTTAGTGTTGAAGAGACTAGGTTACCAAAATATAGCCAGAAATATAACCAAAATATAACGAGTTTTACATCTGTCAAAAGATCTCGAAACATGACAAAACTTATCAAAACAAGTCCCAACATGTCTAAACATCTGTCACCCCCCAAAAAAAGAACATGAATTTTTCATTATTTTTTCCGGGCTGACTGTTCAATTTAATTCCATGTTAATAAATGTTATTAATACAGTATATATGCGAGGTATATTCTTGAAAACAGTATATATGCGAGGTATATTCTTCAATACAGTATATATGTGAGGTATATCTACTTGTCGTCATCCCAATATGTCATTCTTCAGGTCACCAAGTGTCACTGTATGTGAAAAGTGATCAAGGTCCCAGGACTTCGACGTTTTCTAATAACTATGTCCTAGTGTTTGTTCACGTATCTTTTTGTACCAACTTGTCGGTATCTATTACCAAGGTTTATACTATGTGTGAAGTATTCTTCAATACAGTATATAGAGAGATTATCATGTGCTACAGTTTCAGTTTTCAGACTGTTTTGGCCTGAATGCTTGCGTGGATAACATCAGACTCCTTCCGTGAATAATAACCAAGATAATAATAATAATAATAATAATAATAATAAATACTACTACTACTACACAGGATATATAACTGGGAAAGTTGTATGTCTCTCATCATATATGCACTGAGAGACTTCTTGCCTGGTGGTAAACACATGCAGTCGTAATGGCCCTCGTGTAGTCGAAAGATTTTAACCCCATTAACCAACCAATAATAAAATATTATTAATGCTACTACTAATTACTACTACTACTACTACTACTACTACTACTACTACTACTACTAATAATAATAATAATAATAATAATAATAATAATAATAATAATAATAATAATAATAATAATAATAAAATAATCATGATACTCATAATAATTATAATAATTATAATCATAACACTCATAATAATAATGTGTGTTCTTCGTCAGGATGCTGTCTCCATCCATCTCCCCGGCCACCTCGCCCACCCTCACACACAGTGGGTCACCCACGCCGCCACTCTACCCACCACAACACAAGATCTCAGGCATACCCACCGTCGCTGCAGCCTCCAGGTATGTTGCTTTTTTTTTTTTACACAGGGTTTGACAAGGTTAGGTTAAGGATCCCTACCTTTATAGACAAGCTATTTACAGGTTAAGGATTCCTAACTTTATTGACAAGCTATTTACAGGTTAAGGATTCCAAACTTTACTGACAAGTTAAGAGCTGTTACCTACATCAGCTCAATTGAAAGTATTTTTATTGTTATGAGACATACAAGTAGAGAACAGGATGAAGTTGGAGCCATCTGTGGGCCAGCATTTTCATTTGATCAACTGACTTTATCTCGTTGACATCATTATGCTGTACGAATGTGTTCCTCTCACTCTCTCTCTCTCTTTAATTCAATATGTGTCCTAGTAGGAATTAAACATAACAGTAGTAAATGGAACAGGAGTAAAACAAGTGAAAACACACACACACACACACACACATGTGCCTAGGACAAAATGGTAACTAACACACACACACACACGCCTACACACCTACACACACACAACAGGCCTAGTGTCTAATCGACATGTGCCTAGGACAAAATGGTAACTAACACACACACACACACACACACACACACACACACACACACACACACACACACACACACACACACACACACACACACACACACACGCCACACACACACCACACACACACACACACACACACACACACACACGCCACACACACACCACACACACACACACACACACACACACACACACACACACACACACACACACACACACACACACACACACACACACACACATACACACATACACACACACACACACACGAACACACACATTGTTAAACAGGCTTTTACTGGGACAACATTTCGATCAGTGAAAAGTTTAATCAAGTCATGAGAGAGCGAAACGCTGTCCCAATAAAACCTTACTGCACCCTGTACATCCAACGTTAAAACAAGAGAATAACAAACGTGTGTCATAAATCATCATATCACTTATATTATAACACATATATTGCTTTGAGTGCGTAGTACAAAAAAACTAATACGCAAATACTGAAAGATAAATTTAATTTGTTGATGTTACTGGAATAAATGTTGTTTATATAAATAAAAACAAATTAGTATTGTCGGTGAAAGTCACACACACTAAAAGAGAAAGACGGCACTTTATTAAACGTGAAAGAGGAAAATAAGCTTTCTAATATGACAACGTTTCGCTCTGTCATAATTTCATAAAGCTCTACACAGAGCGAAACGTTGTCCCAATATGCAGGTTCTGCAGCTGAAAGTCGTGTTAAATATAGATTATAGAAGTATTGACTCTTCAAACACAAAATATATATAAAAAATACTAGTTTTGAGCAATACTGTATACCAAGAAAGAGAGCAAAAATGAACAATATTGTGACTGGAAGAATGCACAAAAATATCCCCCAGTGAAAAGTAGGAGCACCATTAGTACGCTAAGAGAAAACACATTAAGTGTCCGGGGCCCAAGACTGTTCAACAGCCTCCCATCAGCCATAAGGGGAATTACCAGTAGACCCCTGGTTGTCTTCAAGAGGGAGCTGGACAGATACCTAGAGTCAGCGTCGGATCAGCCGGGCTGTGGTTCGTACGTTAGACTACGTGTGCCCAGTAGTAACAACCTAGTTGATCAGGCCCTGATCCACCGGGAGGCTTTGATCCCCGGAATACCCTCCAGGTAGACTTGTAAATGGTCCAAGTCGGACCGAAACGTCGTCATAAGCTCCTCTCTCCCATGTGCGGGTTATTTGTGTATTAAGAAATAATAACTTGCAAACACGTAATGAAGGAAGAGGTGTCAATAACGATGGGTAATGAGTCTCAGGTTGGCCGGGAGCTGTGTGCCATATCTTCCTAGTTATAATATGCGTCATATCATCATAACTAAACCCTATAACTAAAAGGGTCATATTCCTAACATTTGTTTTTGCTCTTTCAGATTCACGGCGCCTGTACACATTGACGTGGGTGGTTCCATCTACACATCCTCCCTGGAGACACTTACTAGGTGAGTGCACTCGCATCGCCACTCTTCTTCAGGAATGCGTTTCTCTGAGGATGGGGAGGGGATCTATCTGATGTCTCTGCAAAGACGTATCCATCTGCGGTCTGTAAGACTAATTTATCTGACACCTCATTCAGACATATCAATCTGACTTCTCTGGCATCTTGAGTAATCTTAGCACACGTTTATATCATTATGTAGTTAGTGTTTGAGTGACGTGTCTACCATTTTTTTTTTGGGGGGGGGGGCAACGCGAATGTTATAAGAATTCCTGTAAGTGGGATCCAAAGTATGTTTACATTTTTAAGTACCTGTATACCTACGGTTCTTAAATATATGTACACTTTCGTATATCAATACCTCTTTACGCACGACCTCGTGTATGTACACAGAATGTATATATATATAGGACTATTAACTTTCGTGTTGAGTAGTGTGATGAAGTGAACATGTTAAATCATTTTGGCTCACTATCTGTGAAAGCCGTAGAAAGAGAGAGAGAGAGAGAGAGAGAGAGAGAGGAGAGAGAGAGAGGAGAGAGAGAGAGAGAGAGAGAGAGAGAGAGAGAGAGAGAGAGAGAGAGAGAGAGTAGTATATGGGAAGAGTAACAATAACAGCTTGTGTTCTACATTGAGGTTACCTAGAGGAAAACAAATAACTACCGTGCCTGGAAGTTGCACAATTGTTGTCACAGCAGGTGAAGGATAGTGAAGCAGGTTTTCTCCACTACCTTCAGCACAATGCCGCCAGGAAAACAAAAGGTTTATTGAGAGGCGCCATATGGCATAGAAAAGTAAGCGAACCTCACAGGAAATGAGAAACATGGAGCCTACTTCTGCGTCTGTTACCATTGTAGGTAAATAGTTCGGAGAACCTACAGGATGATGAATTAGACACTTGTGCAATACTTGGGTATCTTTCCTGAGGAAACGTTTCACCAACCAGTGGCTTCATCAGTCCAATACAGAGAAGAATGGTTTGAGGAAATCAGTCCCTCGACCTAGAGTCGATGCGAGCAGTCCAGGCTAGCACTAGAAAGAGCACTGGGGAGAGATATAAAAATACAGGAACAGATTAGTACTGCAGCAGGCCTACTGCTGACCCGTGCTAGGCAGGTCCTCTCAAGCACAACCTGTCTCACTTACATATCCTATTTTTAAAGGTACCCAAGTCGTTAGCTTTGATATTTCTCGTAGACAGTTCGTCCCATTTATCCACAACTTTATTCCACCCATCCACAACTCCATTCAATGCATCCACAACTGTATTACATTCATCCACAACCATATTCCACTTCTCCCCAACTTTATTCAACTCGTCCACAACTCTATTCCACTTGTCCACAACTCTATTCCTCTCGTCCACAACTCTATTCCACTCGTCCACAACTCACTGCCTACAAAATGCTCAGGGGAAGTGATGAGAGAGGCGAGGAGGAGCCTGAAGACAGATGCTAGCTTCAATGCGTCAGTGGAATACAATAGCCACAAGTTGATGAATTAGACACATACAACATCTGGGTATCGAATACAGCCCCACCAACACACATGTTGGGCATGTGTCTCCAACACAGACGACAGTTACAGAGATGAACAATTGGGTTTAGATAACTGGTTCAGAGAACCGACAAGTTGACAAATTAGATACATGTGAAACACTTGAGCATCTTTATTGAGGAAACGTTTCGCCACACAGTGACTTCATCAGTCATATACAAAGAAGAATGGTGATCGGGAGGACTTTGGGGTAATCAGTCCCTCAGCCTGGAGTCGATATAATCAAGATTGATGGACTGATTATACATCAACTCCAGGCTGAGGGACTGATTACCTCAGACTCCTACTGATCTTCACCATTCTTCTTTGTATAGGACTGATGAAGCCACTGTGTAGCGAAACGTTTCCTCAATAAAGATACCCAAGTTGAACATGAATGGTATACAGTACCGACAAGGCTAAGAATTAGACGCACGTGCAACATCTGAGTATCCTTATGTAAAAAATGTAAAACTATATACAGAAGATGAGGTAATCAGTCCCTTAGCCCTGGAGCTGGTGAAGAACACAGTAATCTTGAAGAATCTTCAAGATAACAGTGCTCTTCACCAAATCCAAAGATGAGGGACTGATTACCTCAACTTTTCTATAGAATTTTGCATTCTTCACATTATGTCCTTGTATTGTACTGATAAAGCCACTGGATGGAGAAACTTCTACAAATAAAGATTCTCAGATGTTGCACTTGTATCTTAATTCTTCACGTTACTTGTACTCCCTCTCTCAGTCTTTTGGTAGTGAACAAGAGGAACGAACTAGATGAAGAGGAGGTCGAATCATACACTACAGAGCTTCAAGAGTGGATATGAACGGCCCATAGAAGACCAGAAATCAGGGAAACGGGTCTGATAAGTGTTGAGTTGCGGGGCCATGAGTTATACTCGAACACTGCAGATACAACTAGGTGGATGCAACTAGGTGAGTAGTACCTGGTAACCTTGAATGGG